TCCACAACCAGGTAAGCCAATTCCTTTTAGTATCACTTTATACATAGATATCTCCTATTGGTCTTCCTTCTCTGGTTGAATTCAAACTAAAGCACCTCACAGGATGGAATATAAATTTAGAAGTAGGAGTTCTTAGATTTAATTGGGGAAAACAGTTCATATTTGCAGATGTATGGTCGACTTCCATAATCATCTTTTAAAAGCAGCAGGTCAAGAAAGTGGTACAACACCAAATCAGCTTTTTTTTTTTTTTTTAATTTTTTAATTGTGATTTGAATGCAAATTTACAAAGCAGATTCGTTTTACTCACAACAGTTCGTGCACATTTGGTTTCACAGCTCCGATTACAATCTCAGCAATGAAAATCTCTTTTCCCATTTTCTTCCCTGTGACTACTCCGTCCCTGTGCCCTTCTTATCTAGGTATTCCTGTTTGACCCTCTACGCAAATGCTGCCCTTCTGATGTCTCATGGTTGACGGATCTAAGGGGTACATCTTCCTAGGTTAGGTGAGCGCATCCCCCTGGAATTTGTGTTCTGCGTGTAGGCTTTCTACTCTTTGGCTCCAAAGAGCTAATCCACAGAAGTGAGTTCAGTTCCAGACTCAAAGAATAACTCAGGCCCGAAGTCTCAGGGGTTCTACCAGCCTCCATCTGACCAGTAATTCTAGCATTTTTGTGTTTTTGAATTTTGTTTTACATTTTTTCCCTCCCACTCTATGCAGGATCTCCAATTTTGATCCCTTTCCAAGTGGTTGGCGTTGGTAGCTGGGCACCATCTAGTTCTTCTGGTGTCAGGGTCGTGAAGGCTAAGGTCTCCCTGGTCTATGACATCCTTGGACTAATTGTTTCCATATGATTTTAATTTTCTTTACTCTTCTTTGCTCCAGACAAGGAGAGACTGATAGTTGCATCTTAGATGGCAGTTCAAAAGCTTTTAAGACCCTAGTCGCTACTTGCCAAAGTAAGATATAGAACAATATTTTCATGTACTATGTTGTGCCAATTGAGCTTGATGTCCCCTGAGATTGTGGTCTTGAGCCCACAGGCCCAGTGACTCTCTCCTTCAAGGTGTTTGGTTGTCACTGAGAAGCTACACCAAGCTTGTCCTCTGTTAACTCCATAATGTATATGGATATTTTTGTAGCACATATACATAAGTAAGACTATCTTTAGCCAGATCCATCCTTGGTCATGGGTATATTCCTGTTTGCCTATCCACCCCTGATCCTCTCACCTGCCTATGCATTTACCCATAGACTTGTGTTTGCTGCACACTGGTAATGAAATATTGTGCATGTATTAGTATTTGCCTCTGTTGTCTATATCTTTTGTGCACGTTTCTGTGTCCTCCTTTTCCTTATTGTCATTGTGCTGATCACACATCTTTGTTATACTGCTGTTGTTAGGCTGAAGCAAACCCAAACCACCAACATTTCAGTTAGCAGCTTCCTCCGGGTGTCAAGCCCTGATGAGACAGCCTGATAAGACAACCGAAGTGACAAAACCCACCCAGACTGGAAAGTCCCATGCAGTGACAAACTTCCTCTTGTGAAGCCCCCTCATGCTAATTAAGTACAGACCCATGCTAACAGCTAATTGGACCCCACCATTTCCTTAGTGTCCCATTTAGGTCCTCCACAAGACTATAAACCCTACCCTCCCCAGCCAGGCGGTGCAACTTCTCGGGCCCCTCTCAGGGACCCGTGAACCTCACCTGGAAACTCAGAATAAAAACTTCTCTTTAACCTCACTTTTGTGCATCCTCTTCTCCTTACTGTGGCCTTACAGCTGTTCCTTTCACTCAAATAAAAAAATCTCACTAAATCATCTTCTAATAGGAACTACAGATCAGCATGAGTTGGAGTCGACTCGACAGTAACTAAGTTGGCTTTGTTTTGTATTGTTTTAGAGCCAACACAGGAAGACACTATACATTTATTTCTCTAGATCACAAAGTTTGGAAATTGTTCAAAATATAATCTAAATGAATTAATATTAGGGATCTTTACATAAGAAATATTCTGAAATGCTAAGAAAACTAGTAATTTTCCTTAGTTCCATGATCATAATATTCTCCTTTTAATTTTGCACTCTGAAGGTTGCTGAACCTTAGAAATTGATTATACATGCCAATTACATGTGGCACTATAGCATGTATATCATGTAAGTGGCTATTTAAAAAATATCCCTGCATAACAACCACCACATAACAGATGGGCTAAATATAAAGACTAACATAATTATAACTAGTAATATCACAACCTTAACAGAGAGAACACAGACTGATTTTATCCATAAGCAGTGTACCTATGAAGCACAGTTCAAGGTTACAAGTAACTGGCTGTTCTTTAATTCTGATCAAGCAAAATTCCCAGCAAGCCCCAGCAACAGCAAGAGCAGAGGTAGCAATTCACTCTAGTGTAAGACTGTAGCCTTACATAACACTCACTTTCCCAGGAAGTCCCAAACAAACCCCCCTGACGGTGCAGGGACAGAGACCTGGCGTGGAGGGTACAATTTGCGGGAGACTGGCATTCTGAGAAACAGCATGGCCGGGGCAAAAGGGACACGGACAGATAAACACACAAAGACCAAAAACCCCAATGGAATAGGACCATGATAAAACAAATGAAAAGAAAGGTGAAGAAAGTCAAAACGATAAATTATAGGGAGACGAACACCCACACAAAGGTAACAGTGGAATGGCAACACAAGAAGCAAATGGTTAGTAAGAAACACAGCAGCCACACACATGCACCTCAAATACTAAACCTGGGAGCAAAAGGTATAATATAATCCTAACTGTTCTTTGACATAGAAAGTACTAGTTATAGCCTGGAATAAGCAAAGCTCTGTTTATAAAAATGGCATTCAAAGGCAAAAAGGAAACAAAAATCTTCGTTTCTAAGTAAGCCATAATACTAACTACAGGCACTTTTGCTTAAGACAAGATGGGGCAAAAAGATAAATCCCATATGGGTAGGGAAGCTTCAAATACTAGTTTGCCAGTCAACCCTAGGCGAACATAATTAAGTTTGCCAGAACAGAAAGAATATTGAGCTAGGAATTAAAAAAAACAACTCTACTAACTCTGCCCAATCACCACATGACTTCAGAGGTAACATCTCTAGCTCTGGGTTTCCTCTTGCATAAAATGCCATAGTAGATCTCTTTCACAAGTAAAATTCTATGATTCTACCATTTATTTGTATCTAAAACCATATTAATAACAAATTACAAAGCTAGTAGCAAAAACTGAGTATGGAAAACTTTTTTTGCTGTTATTGTATTTAGTAGCCAAGAAACTTTGGGTCAAATCCTAAAACAAAATTATAGCCTTGCATAACCAGAAGGCAGATCTGTGTCGTGCTTTTCCAACCTTACAGTCTATGGAAAGAGTAGCTTATTTACAATTCTTTCTTGAAGTGTGAGGAAACACAGTAGCTAAAAAAGCTGACACATTTGGTGTGATTTGGGTATCAAATATTTTACTGGTCCTGTTTCTTATTCTTCATGTCCTTCTCACAAAATCAATACTTGGGTCAAAAATCAAGCAAATATGTTTTCAGTTAATCTGTCTTGAATACCAAACGAAAATTTCAAAATAGATGTCTCATCTAAAACATCAAACCCAAAAATGAACCTTCTCAAGAAATTTCTTCTCTGAATTGCACTAAATGAGAGGTCACTAATCTATCATAAGTTCCTATTTTAAAATACCAGGCCCATACAAAAGAGAAGTATGTGTTCATGTGAGCGTGCTTGCATGTGTGTGGGGGGTGGGGAGGGCACAAAGGTGGAAGAAGGGATACAAAAATGCACATCATCGCAGGATCCCCGTAATTGGTTAATTCTAATTTAAAGGTATTGCTCAATGTATCATACAGAATTGAGGAAAATAAACAGAGTTAATAACCGAAGAAGAAGAAATAAGCGAGAAGGTAATCAACCCATGCTATTCAGAGAAGGAGAATTCTGAGGGTTAGATTTTGTTGCTTTCTTGAAAATCAGAATTCTATGGGTCAGGAATAGAAGAAAATAATAACTTCTAGAGGAAAATACAGAGGGCTACCAGTAATCTTCAAAATTAATAATGTAGTGAACAATTTATGGAAGGTATAGCCTAACATTTCAACTTTCAAGAACATGAATATAAATGATTCCTAAGAATCTTGCTCCAAGGAGCCATATAGAATAGTGACTTCAATCTGTTACCATCTGAGTGTTCAGAAGAATGTCAGTGACTAGTCTCTATTTCATGAAGTTCCACTAGAAGAGTGCTTCTATGCACTTGAGAATTTATATTAAATATATAGTGTGAGAGGTCAAGAGGCATATGCCTGATCTTTAGCATAAAATATTCTTAAAAAAAAAAAAGACAAAGAAAATTCTGAAAGTGTCTGGTTGAATTTGCTCAAACATACCTGATTATGAAGAACTCAAAAGTCAGAGCTCCATAAAAATCACATCAGGTTTCCTAAATTGACCTCAAAAATGTTGTTTCTTCTTCTAATTTTGATTTATCTACTGATGTAATAGCCTGTCTCTTTACCATACAAATTCTGAAAAGCCTGAATATTCACAGCCTAAAGGAGCATCAGCTCAACAAGCAAGGTCTGAACCAAGGATGAAATATTAACTCCTCCAACCTGAGGTTCATTTGTTCAATAGACAGATAGATAGATGAAGTATTTGGGTTCTCTGGATTGGCTACGTTTTAAGCTTCTTAATCACTGAACACTTTCTCTTCAGGCAATCAATAATATTAAAGTCCAGGGTTCCCCAATTTACTCCCATTCTAGTGTGGTTTTAGAGATTACAACAAAAGAATTTGCACTGCCTTAGAATAAAAAGTAAATAATAAAGTAATAAGCAAGCCCTCAAGAATCTAAATTCAGAGGCAAACATTGAAAAGGCATGCCCTCAGAGTACACAGTTTTAAAATCATAATTTAACGTTTCTAAACTAGTGAGTCCACCTTTAGCTTCCCTTTCCTTACCTTTCTAATTCAGCTATCTTCTTATCTTTATCATTCTTCTCATTTTCCACCTCCTTCAAGATTTCCAAGAGACGGTCAACTTCTGCCTGCGCCTTGCTGGATTCATCTTTGTACCTGGTAATCTCTCTCTCCAACTGCTGTATTCGGTCAGTCATCTCTGGACTGGCTCTAGCTTCAAGTGTTGCCTCATGTGCCTATAAAGAAAAGTGTTCAAAAAGTCTATTAGACACACACACAGTGACAGTGAGCAAGCCATGTCCCAAGGAACTGGTTTATACTTCAGTTTAAACTGAGAATTATCAAATATCTACTTTGAACAACAGTGTAAAACTTCAGATTATTTCACCTTACCTACTGAATGAATTTTAACTATTATAAATATGAATGTTGAAACTAAAAGGATTAAAAAATAATTTAGCAGATAAAACATATTATCATTTTTATTATTAAGAGCTTCTAGAGTACACGTAGGTCCATCTAAGATGTCCTTGAAGGGTATAATATTTATCTGTACATAAATACCTTGGCATGTTAAGCTGTTTTAGTTATACTTTCTCTATTTGTTGTTATGTATTATTTTTTTTGTTATATTTGTAAAATAATATCTTATTTCACAGTAATACTTCATTATCCAGAGAATATCTACATAATTCCATATAAAAAATGATCAAAATGAAAAAAGAAGTGGCACTTTATTAATGATTTTAAATTGAACAAATGATAGTCTATAATGAGAGATTTTTATTGATTTCTGAGATTAATCAAAGATGAATTAAAATTTCACTAATAATTCCAATACCCAAATATAACTACTACTAACTCTTTGAGGTATATGTCCTTCTTGGCTTTTTTCTGTATATTTCTGTCTCTCTCCCCAAATATATGAGATAAAGATATATAGTTCTAAAGCAAATATATGAAAATGTATGAAGATATGTGTATATATACTTTACTAATATAAAATCTGTATATGTATTTTACTAATACAAAATAGTCCCTCCATGCAAAGATACTGATACCATAATGATGCAGATTCTTCATATAGATTTTATTACACAGGTCATATAGCATAATTTGATAATAAGTTTTTTCACTTAACTTACCCAGAATATTTCCCAGTATTCTTAAGCACAATATAAAAATGTAATTTTACTTTTCATTATTTTAATCAACATTGCTCTTTTGGGAAATTTTTTGCAAATCCTGAACTTCCTACGGCCCTGCCACATGGCCCTTAATCCTTAAGAGAAATAGTAGAAAATCGTGCCAGTTAGGCCAGAAATTACTACACTCTTTTCTTTACCGAATTTGCATTTCTGTACTAAAGATGGATGAATAGCATGTGTAAGGCCTCCTGCTTGAGCTCCTTTTCTACAGGGATCTTATGAGTTCATCCTGTTTCAACCCCATCTATTTAGGAAGCAAACTGTACAAGAATGAGCCTGGGTTTTGTCCCAGAAAAAGGGTAAATATGATGTTTATTACTCTGCTTTCCAGATTATTCTCTGTAGTTATAACTTTCCAAAGCTTTATACTCTATTCCACAGGGAATATGTATATAATTCATAATCGAGCATTTGTTACTTCTATAGTCTTTGCTAAAAATGCCCACTACACATGGAACATTTTTCTCATAATATATTTCTATGGAATTATGGATTTCAAACTCATTAAATTGATGGTTTATCTTTAGCGTAAATTTCTCACATTCACTTATTCATAGTTTAATCTCTTTATGAATTATTTGATATACATTGTATTTTGACTCCTGAGTGAATTTATCACATCTATTGCTTTTTATCAGAAGACTTTCTGGTATTTATTAGATTGACAAGGATGAACTCTTTGACAGGCCAATGAGGTCTAAATTCAGATGAAGTTATCTTGCTTTCAAGTTTATCTCCTGAATGATCCTTCTGATGTTTAATGAGAGATGTCTTCCCTCTGCAGGCTTTCCTACATTCCTGTATTTGAAGAATGTCTCCCCTGTGTGAATTCTCTCATGTTTAATTAGGGGTTCCTTCTGGATAAAGGTTCTCCCATAATCACAGCATTGATAAGTCTGCTCTTCTACATGAGTTCTCTGGTGTACAAGGACAGCTGACTTGTGGGTGAAGTCTTTGGCACAGTTACAACAAAGTTTCTCTCCATTATGAGTTCTCTGTTGCACAACAAGGTTTGTTTTTGCATAAACATTTTCCATATGTGCTACAGTCACGAAGTTTCTTCTCAGTTTGCAGTCTCTGATTTTGGTAAGGGTTTTCTTATGTTGGAGAACTTTCCTACATTTATTAGTTTACTTATTTCACTCCTGGGTGAGCTTTATCACAATTAAGATAAAAGAATAATTTCCTTTACTCATTACATCCATTATCTTTCTTTCTTGCGTAGTTTCCATTTTTAATTATGCTTCCAGCACCTTCTCCAGGAGTAATTTTTAAGAAGATTTTCTCTTGTCGAAACAGATCTGTCCTCCAAATTGTTTTCCTGTGTATTTTTCTTTTTGACCACTTTCATCAATCAATGTTTCTTTGTCTATGAATACAATTTGCCACAGAGGTCTGTCTTGGGTGTCATGGTGGTTCTCTATCTGGTCACCAACTTGTCAGACTTAGGTCCTGTGAGCTGTGATCTATGCGGGGCTTAGCTGAGCAATTCTGCTTCAGAGCTTCTCATGACACTGAGGTGTTGCAGTCAAGATACTAGCCACCAGGACTACAGACATCTGGAGGCTACAGGATATAACTCTAAGGTGGTTCCTTCATATGTATGGCAAATTTGTGCTTCTTTTTGGTCCAGTTCTTTGCTGCATGGACCTGAGTTTATACCATTTTATGTATGGGTGGCCTGGAGCACAAACCACCAGTAGTACAGTGGTCTTACAGGAAAATGCATTCTATATTGTAATTAATCAATTTACAAATTAAATTATATAATATTGTTGTTGTTTGCCATCGAGTTGGCCCCGACTCATAGTGACCCCTCCTTGGGTTTCCGAGGCAGTATCACTACGGAAGTAGGATTGCCCAACCTTCCTTCCGAGGAGTGGCTGGTGGGTTTGAACCGCCAGCCTTCTGGTGAGCAGTCAAATGCCTTAGGCACCATGCTACCACTCAAGACAGCATGCCACCAGTAATGGGAATATTATCTTAGAGGTCATGATCTACCTCAAAATGTTATCTGCACATAAGCTACACAAACCTGCAATTAATTTTTGTTTGCTATTTAACTCTAATTTTATATCTCCCCAACTATAGCTGTTAAAGCAGCAGCATGCTAGCACAGTAAGGCAAAAACTTTAAAATATGAGAGGCTGGACATCAAATCCTGGCTCCAAAATAGTTGTACCATGTTCCCAGTTTGTGTGGCTATCACTGTTACTTTATCTCCTCCTAGAAAATATGATTCTAATGAAAGAAAAATATCAGATAACTGACATTTCTATACTGTGATGCCATATTTAAACCATAAGGGAGCTGTATATTTTAATCTTCCTCTAAACTGCCAATTCTAAGCATTGGGGGATTCTCATGAATAAAACAAAGTAGGGTAAGAATGCTGAAAGTATGAATCAAAGTATAAATGGTGTTCTAAATTCTGGGGGATTATTATTCTATAATTAAGTTTTTATACTTAAACATACTAGAGTATTCTACTATGTTCTTATTTAAAACAAAGCAAGAACATGGGAAATTTTCTTTAACCTTTTTCAACTGTGACTCTATTTTCAAACACTCCTCCTTCTTCTGCTCCAACGCAATCTCTAGTGTCTTCAACCGTGAGTCCTTTTTCAGTCCTGAAGAAGCCAGGGAAGAAGCATGTTCCTTCAGATCCAAGAGTGAAGCCTAAAAGAAGTAATACACACATAGAATAAATACTAACTATAAATAAAGCGAAGATTTACATTTCTAAACGGGTTATCTTGGTGGATTGTAATTTCCTTCCTTTATCGTATCAAAAACATTCATAAAATACCAAGCAATGGAAATTTTCTTAAGAAAGAGTAGCTTTATCCCTGTTTAAAATGAGTATCAAGTCCTAACTAAAATAAGATGGATTACGGTAGTGATTCAAAGAGTTCCATCAATACATATCTATTCCAATAAAATAAAGTAATTCAAACTTTGTAAATGTTAAGTACTCTATCTTAGAAGCTATACTTTTCTTTCAAACATATATATATATACTTTTTTAGAAGGAAAAATTCTATTAAGAACCTAAAATTCCTAAAAATATTAGAAAGAAAATTTGAAGAAAAATTCTAGAAGTTCATGCACTCTTGCATGATCACATGGTATTAGGCTTCTTTGCTACTTAGGTCACATTCATAGCGTTCTCCAAAAGCAAGAACAAAGTCTATTAGGTCACCTAAGCCATTTATGATCTCTCTGCCAATGGCCAGGAGCATTTTAAAAGCTGTTGTAATAAATTTTCCTCCTTTTGTACACTGCTTTTGTCTGTTACCTTTTCTTACCATTAGCACAATGTTTCCCCAAATTTAACTGGGCTTCCTGTATTTCAGGATCTATAAAAATGCTAACAAGTAAGATATGAACTCATAATAAAGTGAAAGAGATAAAACTTACGAAGTGAATAATTCTTATTACGACGCTGAATGTTTCTGCAATATGCTTTAGGTTTTCACAAAAAGCCTACTTTAATCTTAAGAAAATCTCTCAGATGTGTTTTATATTATATGCATTATGTGAACACCAACAACAGATAAACACAATGTAACAACCAAGCAAACCAAATAATTCCATTTTGGTGATCCCAACCTCTTTCTCTGAGAGGTCGCCTTGCAATAAGCTGACTTTTTCTTTCAAGTCTTTAAGATCTTTTTTGTAGTTATCAATTTCCTCTTGCTTTTCTCGTTCATCTCTGTCCCGCTGCTCCTTTAAGCGTTCAATTGTCCGCTCCTGATGAGACAGCACATCAGTACATGAAGAAAGTTCTTTTGGTACTGGTATCATGAGACTGCAAATACTGCATTCAGCTTATAAAATTTCACAATTCCCTCCTCCATTAGAAAGACAGTGATAAGTTTTCAGTAATCAACTTTTCCAAGCACTCATCTTCCCTAATTTGCCATACAAAGATCTAGCTTTGTTCTTTCGAATCCCCAAGTTACTGGGGATTTTCCTATAATTCCAACTAGTATTAGGTATCTCTAAACTATCCTTTTGGAATAGTCCTATATATTTAACTCTCAAGTAACCAAAACTTTATATATATCCCCTAATGACAATAAGTAACAATGATTTCTTCTTTATATATCACTTACATGTTGCCTAGATGCCAATAGAAACACTTCAAAATTCACCAAAAAAAAAAAAAAAAGAGAGAGAGAGAGATTATGATGTTAGGCTTAAAATATAAGGAAGGGTAATGAAAAGAGAAACAGTTTAAACTTCTTTAAACATATACTCAGGAAATTGAAAAGTTGAAGCAATTTGAGTATATTTCTGAGTTTAATTTCTGAGTATATACAGGGATCAAGCCTTGATCCATGGCAGGCAGCCTAAAGTATTCTGGGCCAAGAATTAAGAAACAGTAACTCTGTGCCTAAATTTAAAAAAACATATATGACCAATTAAAATGGATTCCCTAAACTTTCTTTCTTCTAAGACATTAGTACTAGTCATGTTGGGCCACTTCTTTAGCCAGTAATTCAAGAAAAATTAGGCTTGTTCATAAAGGCAAAATGAAGTAACAAGGCCAGGACTAGAAGCACAGCAAATACATGATATTAACTAAAATCCATAAATATATTAGATATATGCTTAAAATTATATGTATATTTTTATATATTATTATTTATATATTTATAAATTATATATGGGAGCTCTGGTAGCATAGTGGCTAAGGCATTTGACTGCTAACCAGAAGGCTGGCGGTTCAAACCCACCAGCCACTCCTCGGAAGGAAGGTTGGGCAATCCTACTTCCGTAGTGATACTGCCTCGGAAACCCAAGGAGGGGTCGCTATGAGTCAGGGCTGACTCGACGGCACATAACAACAACAACAACAACAAATTATATATACATATAAAATCTTAAGTATATACCTAATATATTTATAGATCTTAGTAATAATTGGAAAGATATATATATACACACACACACACACACACACATATGTATCTTCCTAATGGTCAATGTCTGATATTCCCACATCCATGTGATTTTTTTTTCTTTTTCTTCAAAAGCAATTCAATTGGCGAACATAAGCTGATTGTTTAGAAAATTCTGCCACTGCCCTCTAGTGTAGAATCCATCTTGCCTAGCAATTGATGCCTAAACTGGCAATAGTTAAATGGATTTTCTTTCCCCTTACACAACACATTTGTCAGCAATAGCTTAAAAGAGCTCTTTTCTGTTTTTGCCCAAAGGGGTTTCTTCTGTATTCTATATCCAACTCTCATCACTAGAGAAACTTTCAGATTAATGAGAAAGCAGAAGAGGTACACCTCTGAGAAGTCTGGGCCAGTCACTCACTTTTTCTGCAAGGGCCTCCTCCAAAGTTGTCAAGGCGGTGTCAGTGTTGGTGGTGTCAGCCTGTAATGACTTGACTCGTTCTTTCAAGCTGCTCATCTGCTTTTCTTTATCTCTAAGCTGCTCTTGAAGATTTTCAATCTGAGTGTGAATGTATATTTAAGGGGGAAAAAAAACAAAAAGAAGAAAATGATAAGAAATAGGAAATGATCAAACAGCCACATTTTAACTTGGAAACAGGTAGATCAAGGTTATGTGTGTGTGTTTCTGTAGAAGTAATTTAATCCTAAAAGTTTCAGAATTTCATACAAAACCTTAAATTCATGTGTAAAGCAACTAAGGAACAGTGTATAAACATGAATATGAACACATACATATATGCAAAAAGCCCTAAAGAAATAAAGAAAGTATCTAGGAAGAAAAGATCCAATACAGCAATGGGGGAAGAAAGGCAGACTACAGAGAGGAAAGTTATGAGATCCATGTTTGTTTGTTTTTCTAAATGACACAGTAAATGTCAAGGGGGATTTCTGCATAAAAAATCAAGGGAGGACAGAGAATAGAACTAGACAGTGAAAAAGGCAAGCCAATGATATAAAGGAAAATTGTTTACAAATACTAGTTTTATATAAACTCTTATCTAAATGGCAAGCATTTCAATGAAATTTCTTATTGTAGTCATTTATTCCTTTATATACACTTACATGCATTCGTTTACTCAAAAATGATTTACTGAATTCTCAATTATAGGCCAGGCGCTGCTGTTACAAAGAAAACTGAATAGACTCATTCTTATTATATATACTATGACATAGTAAGAGATTTTCCCATTCTGAAGCTGAAGTCAAGCTATGGATGGCCTTGTTTGTCATCCTAAGGAGCAAAATTTCAAGAAAGATGGCAAACTTTACCGAGTTTTAAGTAAAGAAATGGTCTCATCAGTTTCATATTTTTAAAGAGAATTCTGATGGATGTGGAGGAGAAATTTAAAGAGGTCTATGAAGTCAGGCAAAAGATGATAGGGGCCTAAAAGAGATGGAAAAGAGAGGATGGATTTTAAACACAGTGTAGAAATAGATGTTAACACTGGGGAGAAAACAGAAACCAAACTTGTTGCCATCGAGTCAATTCTGACTCAGAGCAACCCTATAAGACACAGTAGAACTTCCTTATGGGTTTCCAAGGCTGTAAATCTTTATGGAAGCAGACTGCCACATCTTTCAACCATGGAACCACTTGTGTTGGTTTGAACTGCCAAACTTTCAGTTTAGTAGTGAACTGTTTAACCACTGGTCCAGCAGGGCTCCCTGATTCAAGTATAAAACCTAACAACCAAACTCACTGCCATCGAGTCGATTCTGACTCATAGTGACCCCCCTTTGGGTCTTCTTTACAGAAGTAGATTGCCCAGTCTTCCTTCTGCAGAGTGGCTGGTGAATTTGAACCACCATCCTTTTGGTTAGCAGTCAAATCCCTTAGGCACTACACCACCAGAGCTCAAGTATACATTATGAAAAATACTGAGCAAAAATATGAGGAATTTAAATTCTAGGGAGAAAATTATAACTAAATCAATTATTCTAGACTTTACATAGTTCATTCATTCATTTAACAAATATGTGAATTCCTGTTATTCGCCAGGCATCCAGGTATTAAGAGATATAGAATTAATCAAAACAGAGAAAAATCTCTGGCCTAATGGAGTGTACATTCTAGTGTGGTAGACAGATTACACAAACTAATAACTAAGTATACATAGTATGCAGTAACCTCTACAGAGAAACATGATGTAGAACAATACAATCACAGTCTCCTTTTGAGCTAATACCAGAACTGTTGTTGTTGTTATTGTTATGTGCCGTCGAGTCAAACCCGACTCATAGCGACCCCTCCTTGGGTTTCCGAGGCAGTATCACTACGGAAGTAGGAT